CACAAGTCAAAGCTTGCGGCTCTGACAAAACAACAAACCTCCACCTTGGCATAATTTTGAATTCTATCATCGACAATAGTAAAAATTTCTCCACCTTCTTCACATAAGCCCCAATGGGCTTAAATCACAAACGAACACCAATCAAGTCCAAGCACTGCTTGAACTTGTAAACTGGAAGAGGTTTCGTAAACATATCGGCTGGATTGTCCTTAGTATTGATTTTCTGAATAAGGACTTTTCCCTCAGCAATGATATCCCGAATAAAGTGATACTTCACATCAATGTGTTTCGTCCTCTCATGATACATCTGATCTTTAGTCAAGTGTATGGCACTTTGACTATCACAGTGAATATCAGTAACACCTTGATATAGACTTAACTCGCTAAATAAATTCTTCAACCACAAGGCTTCTTTGATTGCCTCGGTCACAGCCATATATTCTGCTTCTGTAGTAGACAAAGCTACGACAGGTTGTAGAGTAGCTTTCCAACTAACAGCACAACCGCCAATGCAAAATACATAGCCTGAAAGTGATCTTCTCCTGTCAAGATCCCCAGCGTAGTCTGAGTCTACAAAACCAACCAAAGTGTTATTATTCCTTCCAAACTCCAAACATGCATTTGAAGTACCTCGCAAATATCTGAGAATCCACTTCACAGCCTGCCAATGTGTTTTACCAGGGCAAGACATATATCTGCTAACAACACTGACTGCTTGTGCAATATCTGGACGAGTACAAACCATTGCATACATAATACTGCCGACTGCACTGGAATAAGGAACCCGTGCCATATAATCTTCCTCTTCATCTGATTTTGGTGATTGAGCAGCAGATAGCCGAAAATGGCTAGCAAGAGGAGTAGATACTGGTTTAGCATCTTTCATGCCAAAACGCTCCAAGACCTTTTCAAGGTAATTTTTCTAGGTCAAAAATAACTTCCCTACTCCTCGATCTCGCTTGATATCCATGCCAAGAATTTTCTTAGTTGCTCCCAAATCTTTCATTTCAAATTCACTATTTAACTGCAGTTTCAAGGTGTGAATTTCTGACAAATTCTTGGCAGCAATGAGCATGTCATCAACATAAAGCAGCAAATAAATGGAAGAACCATCATTTAACTTCCGGAAGTAAACACAACTATCATACATGCTCCTCAAATACCCATGACCCAACATAAAGGAATCAAACCTTTTATACCATTGTCTTGGAGACTGCTTCAATCCATATAAGGATTTCTTCAACAAGCAAACACGGTCTTCCTTACCTTCAATTTCAAAACCCTGGGGTTGTCTCATATAAATTTGTTCTTCAAGTTCGCCATGTAAGAAAGCTGTCTTAACGTCGAGCTGTTCTAACTCCAAATTATACATGGCAACTAAAGCAAGCAAAACACGAATAGAGCTATGTTTAACAACAGGTGAGAATATATCATTAAAATCAACACCTTGTACTTGATTATAGCCCTTTGCAACTAATCGTGCTTTATACCTTGCATCTTCAACCCCTGAAATACCTTCCTTTTTCTTGAAGACCCACTTGCAACCAACAATTTTCTTAGCTGACGGCGGCTTTACAAGAACCCAAGTTTCATTCTGATGAATAGATTCAATTTCTTCATTCATCGCAATCAACCACTTTGCAGAATCATCACAAGAAACTGCTTCTGAATAGGTGGAAGGCTCACCAACTGCATCAGTTTCTTCTGCAACAGACAAAGCATATGCAACTAAATTTGCATATCTTTGTGGTGGTCGAATGTCTCTCCTTGCTCTATCTCTGGCTATGGAATACTCCTCTTCTTCTGAACTATCTTCAACAGTAGATTCAGGTGTATCTACTGGCACTTGTTGAATATAAGATTTGGATTGAGAAGGACCAGAACTGCCAATATCAAGCTCCACCTGCTTCTGTGTACTATCAGTAGTACAAGGACTAGAAGACTCCTTCTTGGAAGATAACAGAGATAATTCATCAAAAGTAACATCTCTACTGATTACAAATTTTGGGGATTTGGGATCAGGATACCATAATCTGTATCCTTTCACCCCAGAAGCATACCCAAGAAAAATGCACTTTTTAGCCCTAGGCTCCAATTTTCCATCATTCACGTGCATGTATGCTGGACACCCAAAAACTTTTAAATTGGAGTAATCAGCAGGAGTACCTGACCAAACTTCCTCAGAAGTTTTGAAATCAAGAGATGCAGAAGGAGAACGGTTGACAATATAACAGGCCATATTGATCGCCTCTGCCCAAAAGTCGTTTGTCAACCCTGCATTTGAGATCATACATCTTGCTCTCTCCAAAAGCGTTCTGTTCATACGTTCAGCCACACCATTTTGTTGAGGCGTCATCCTGACGGTGTGATGCCGAACAATTCCTTCATTTTTGCAAAATTCATTAAATTCACCTCCACAAAATTCCATGCCATTATCTGTTCTCAACCGCTTAACATTTTTCCTGTTTGTTTCTCAATCAAAACTTTCCATTGCTTGAAAGTTAGGAAAACATCATTTTTGTGCTTAAGAAAATAGACCCAAACTTTCCTTGAATAGTCATCAATGAAAGTCAACATGTACCTGGCACCACCTTTAGAAGGAGCACGAGAAGGACCCAATAGATCTGAATGAATGTAATCAAGAGTACCTTTTGTCTTGTGAATTGCTGGTGAACTGAAGCTGACTCTTTTCTGCTTCCCAAAAATACAATGTTCACAGAATTCCAATGGCCCGATACTTTGTCCACAAAGAAGTCCTCTTTTGCTTAGTATGCCCAAGCCTTTTTCACTCATGTGCCCCAAACGCATATGCCATAATTTGGTGATGTCTGTATCTGACAAAGATGATGTTGAAACAGCAGCAGCACCTGTCACAGTAGATCCCTGCAAAATATACAAAGTACCAGATCTGCGTGCCTTCATAACAACAAGAGCTCCTCGAGTGATTTTAAGAACTCCGTCTCCACCTGAATACCTGCACCCGATAGACTCAAGAGTGCCCAAAGAGATGAGATTTTTCTTCAAATCTGGAACATGTCTAACATTTGTGAGCGTCCTCACAATACCATCGTACATTTTAATCCGGATTGTGCCTTTGCCAACAACTTTACAAACAGCGTTGTTGCCCATTAAGACAACTCCACCTTCAGTTGATTCATATGTTGAAAACCAGTCCTTATTGGGACACATATGATATGAACAACCCGAATCTAAAATCCACTCATTGTTAGACCTAAAATTATTTTCTATTGCACAGAAAATGGTTCCATCATTCTCATCAGCTGCTATACTAGCTTCAGCGGATTCAGTATTTCTCTCAACAAATTTCCCCTTTTGCTTTTCTTTAGTTTTCAATTTAAATCAATCAGAGATAATATGGCCCTTCTTTTTACAATAGTTGCACACCATATTTTTATGTCTGGACTTGGATCTACTTCTATTTTCTGTGTTTCTCCTTTCAGATCTACCCCGAACAAACAAGCCATCGGCTTGACTCCCACTAGTTTCCCCAGTAATATCCCTATCTATCTGCTCTTTAGATTTTAATGCAGATTTAATTTCCCGATACAAAATTGTTTCCTTTCCATATATCATAGTATCACGGAAATGCTTAAAGGACTGAGGAAGGGAACATAAAAGTAATAGGGCCTGATCTTCATCATCAATTTTCGAATCTATATTCTCCAAATCCATAATAATGGAATCAAATTTATCAAGATGGGAGAGTATAGATGTACCTTCAGACATCCGAAGCATATACAAACTCTGCTTCAGATATAGCCGATTCTCGACTGTCTTCTTCATATACAAGGCTTTCAATTTATCCCACATAGTCTTGGCCGAAGTCTCCGTTGCTACCTCACGCAATACCTCATCGGAGAGATTTAGGATAATACTGGATCTTGCCTTCTTATCCATCTCAGCAAAATTTGCATCTGTCACATCTTCTGGCTTTTTCTCAATTCCTTGAATTGCCAAATCAACTCCGTCTTGAACAAGAATGGCCTCCATCTTGAGCTGCCACATGCCGAAGTTGACATTCCTGTCGAATTTCTCGACAACCGTCTTTGTTATCGTCATTGTTGCCACAAAATCTGTAACTTGAAATTTGTCTCAAAAAACTGGCCAAACAAATATGCAAGTCTCGTGAGTGGGCCCCACAGGGTGAGCGGACCCACGAGATAAGCGGGCCCCACGGGGATGAACGGACCCCACAAGGTGAGCGGGCCCCACGGATAAACGGACCCCACAGGATGAGTGGGCCCCACAGGATGGACGGACCCCACCAGATGAACGGGCCCCACCAGATGAAACTGTCTTGCAAAATATAACAACCAGCTCTGATACCAGTTTGTTAGGACCGGACCAGGAAATAGACAAACTCAAGTTAGCACAAAGTAGGCGGTATAACCGACCATATAATAGATAGGCGGTAGATACCAGCCATATAATAATTAGGCGGTAAAACCGACCATATAAAGATGGATAACAAAGCAAATAAAAGACACAAAAGATTTACGTGGTTCGGTCAAATTGACCTACGTCCACGGGCGAGGGAGGAGCAATATTTCTACTATGAAGAAGAAATACAAAAGCCGTAGGAAAGTGGTTCCTAGGCCAATAAGGCACTTATAAAAGGTTTAGGAAATATTCCTAAACTCAAAACAAGAGAGCCTAAAATATTTGACTGAATGGGCTAGATGACTCAAGAAGCTAATAGCCCATATAACTCTCTTGAGTGGTGCAAGTTAAATCCTTCAATGGACCCTTCTATTTATAGGCCTCGAGTAGCCGGCTTCTCTTCAGCAGGCTCCGATGTGGGATGAGAAGGAAATGAAAAATTATGCCACAAGTCAAAGCTTGCGGCTCTGACAAAACAACAATCATCAATTATGGCTTTCTGATCTCGTGGAAGATCTCAAACTTATAAAGCTTCAGGCAAGAGAACCTGTAACAATGCACATGGCATCAACATCCATAATGTTCCCACCAGTTCAATGATGGTTTCATCACCAGCTAAAATTCCCAAGATTGATGAAGTTGTAATTGATCTTACTGATGAAAAAAAGCTGGTCATTGATAGACTTATATCTGGGTCAGGAAAACTAGATGTTGTCGCAGTTGTTGGCATGGCTGGACTCGGCAAGACAACTTTAGTCAGGAGGGTATACAACGATCCTTTAGTTACATATCACTTCCACATTCAAGCATGGTGTTGTGTCTCCCAAGCATATCAGAAAAGAGAATTGCTTCTTCAGATTTTAAGTGACATCGTGGAACTTACTGATGATGTCCTCGAAATGAGTGATGAAGAATTAAAGCTCAAGTTGTACCGATGCCTGAGGAGAAATAGGTACCTCATTGTTATGGACGATATCTGGAGCATTGAGGCATTGTATGATTTTAAAAGATCATTTCCAAATGACGACAATGGAAGCAGAATACTGATCACGAGCCGTCACTTTCATGTGGCTGCAGAAGATGAAGTAGATGGTACTCCTCATTCTCTTCGGCGACTCTCTGATGATGAAAGTAGGAAGCTATTACAGAAGAAGTTGTTCGACACAAAAGAGTGCCCCAATGAACTGATGGAAGTTGGAGAGCAAATTGCTGCAAGCTGTAAAGGACTCCCTCTTGCAGTTATTGCAATAGCTGGTCTCCTTGGAAGGACGGACATGATACTCGATAGGTGGAAAGAAGTTTTAGAAAGTATATGCTCACAGACTACCGATGATCCTGAAATGAGGTGCATGGAGATCTTAGACATATGCTACAGGTATTTACCCAACTATTTGAAACCTTGCTTTCTTTATACTGCAGTAATTTTGGAGGATAAAGACATTCCAGTTAAGAAGTTGGCATGGTTATGGAGAGCAGAAGGATTTTTAACAGATACAGGAGCAGAAAGCATAGAAGATATTGCAGAGGGGTACTTGAGGGATCTGATTGGAAGAAGCCTCGTACTGCCTTCCAAAAGAAGATCACACGGAGGAATCAAAACATGTCGTGTCCATGACATGTTGCGTACATTATGCATACCCGAAAGTCTGAAGAAGAAAACCTTTTGCAGCTCCAAAATGGGTATGACGAACTTTTTTATTCTTCTCACGAGGATATAGACTATGGTGTTGATCCCAATTACATTTATCCCAAAAACTCTATCAAATACCAAAAACGTCGGTTATGTATCTGCTCCAAGAGAAATCATTTTATCATGTCAAGACCTTCTGGGCCATATGTGCGCTCTCTGCTGTACTCTGCCACCAATGATTTGTATCCAAGATGTCCCTATGACATCTCCTTCATTTTTGACAACTTTAAACTTCTCAGAGTGCTGGATTTGGAATGCATCAATATGGGGGATTCTTTCCCCACTGGAGTACTAGTGTTGGTTGGTCTGAGATTTTTAGCTCTTTGTGGTGATATAGATAGTATTCCAGCATCAATAACATTTCTCCAGAATCTTGAAACCTTGCTTGTGAAGGGGTTGAAAGGTAATGTATCACTACCTTATGCTATGTGGAGCATGGAAAACTTGAGGCATGTCCATGTAAAAAATTATGCTGTCATCACCTTGCAAGATGGTGAAAGCATAGTTTTCCCAGATGTACTTAATCTGGTTAGTCTTTCATCTCCATATCTCCTTTGTAGTAAAGGTATAGAGGATATCATGAGGAGGTTGCTCAAACTTCGGAAACTGAAATGTCGATTTTCTGAATTACGGGATGATACTGGGAAGTCCAATCAATTTCCAGTGCTGAATTTTCTCACTGAGCTTGAGTCCCTCAATATGCTCTACTCAGGCAGGGTTGCTAGTCCTTGTAAGTTTGACTTCCCATCGAATCTTAGGAAGTTAACTCTATCAAAGTTTCGACTGCCATGGGATTGTATTTCGGACATTGGGAGATTACCTAACCTTGAGATTCTAAAATTACAGTATAAAGCCTTTGAGGGGAAAGTGTGGGAAATGAAAGAAGGCGAGTTCCTTAAACTGAAATTTTTGAAGCTCGACAGCCTAAACATTGCTGAATGGAATGCCTCCAGTGATCACCTGCCACAACTTCAACACCTAATTTTGAAAAGTTGCAAGCAGCTCAAGGAGGTCCCCTCTGGTTTTGGTGGAAGTTCTACTCTGGAGATGATTGAGGTCCTATTGTGCACAGGCTCTCTTGAGGAGTCTGTGAGACGGCTCCAGGAGGAACAACCTGACATGCGGAATAAGCTGACGGTCCTTGTTGATTGTTCAGACTTGGACTTTTGAGATCAGCTCGATTTTTTCTGGTAAAACTTTGGCATGTTATTTTGATTACTACTGAGTAAACCTATTCTTTTGTTATGACTTTACGTGTTAGGTTTTGTATACATTCTCTGTTTCCAATTCACTGGATTCTATTTTTTGGAGACATCTTCTATCATCACTTAAATCGTGGTTCTTTTACTCTTGAATCATCAGCTCATAGATTAAGGTCTTGAAGTTATGCATTTTCAGTTTGAGTCCGCTTTCACAGAAGCACAATTTCTAGGAGGTTTTGATTCTGTTAATTGTTAGTAAACTTTTTGGATAACGTCTTAAAGAATTAATGTAACCAGAAGAGAAGACTTGCAATAAATGCAATAAAGACAGATCTAAACACAAACTTTTGTTTTAGCCGAATGCTTTTCAGTTGCCAAAATCTGGCACTTTAGGCTACTACTTGAACATTTACTAGCAGAAATAACATGCCAGTACTGTTTCAGTTGGCTGTGTGGAAAAAAGAAGCAAACCTCTCAAGGTGAAGAAAAAGGAATTCTCAGAAGATGTTGGAAAAAAGGAATCTGGATGATCTTAAATCACAGACTTTGTCCTGCTTGGGCGTGGAAAAGCCTCGATCCCCAAAGGTTTTTCCTCACATTTCAGAACTTGCAGGAATGATTTTCTTGCCACTACTAGCATGGTTAGTGTTGAAGATTTGGCTTTCATAGTCTTTTCCTTAGTATACATCCAATGTTTTTTTTTTAAATCAAAAGCCGCCTTTCCAGCTATTTCCACTCAACCCAATCTGAGAATCTTGGGGAAAACACACGCTTCAAAGTCTCTATGTGCTCCTTTCTAGAATAATCAGTTTAGTTCTCCCACCAGCATATATGCTTGAAGGTATGTTTCGAGGACACAAAGGAGTATCAGGAACTCAAGGCAGCTGTATCACGCCTTTCTTCTTGCTAGTCGGATTTTAACGGAAGGACTGCTTTCTACGGTGCATTTTCCAGGCCAATTTTTGTATTGGTGCTTGTTCAATTTTATACAATTCAGGGAGGATGTTTACTGTTGTGGAGTGGTTGAGGTGTGAATTTTACAAGACTTGTGGCAATCTAGAAGATTGTGCATTGTAGGAGGCCTTGCTGTCGTTAATATGGCCTTTTGTTGCTTCAGTTTGTTTGGGTTCTTATTGCCTGTTTTACTCCGAAAGCTCTTCAGGATATATTATTCATCTGGGAATAACACTTATTATGTTTTTGTGGAAACTTGGAGATTTTATGTTTTGTTGCCTCCATCATAATATGAATAAATTTTTTGAAGTATTTTGTAAGTTTTCCTTTTTTGAGGAGTCTGACTTTGATTTATTGTAACTTAATTGCTCTATTTTGGGAATGGACATTGCTATTACTTTTGGCATTGTGCTGTTTGGATGCGAAAAGATATAAAAGTGAATGAATGAAAGAATATTATTGAATTGGAGGGAGGAAGTCCCCTTGGATCATGTTATCTGGTCCAGTTTTGGGTTACTCCACTATTTTTGGTCTTTTGGCGTCACTTGTTTCTCTCTTCGTTTTGGTTTCCTCTGCTTCAAAGGTAATTCCATCTATGTTCAAGTTGCCATTGAAACATTGTTGCTGATCTTCAGGTTTTGATGTCAGGTGACTTGCTCCCATTTAATTACATATAGCAAAATAAATAAAGAAGGGGTCTCAATTTTCAATGAAGGCGGTATAATTTGACCATTTCTGCTAACTTTGTTTAATGCTGCTTCTTGCCCGGTTATAGCAAGGAAAACAAAGGACAAGAAGGATAAGGTTGTCGTACAGCATTGAAAATATTCCCATTTATTTTTGTTTCTTTGGTCACGTACCATTTTCATAGGAGTGCAAAAGAATGTAATCAAACCAAAAACTCTATATTCAAATTTGTTAATTCATCTTAATGACTGTAAAATTACAAAACAAAATATTTGGATTCTTCATTTGTCAAAGTAATCTAAGAGTGTAAATAGTGTAAGCAAAATTTTGTTTTACTTTTTGTAGTATCGAAATTGTTAGGACTGGCCCAAGAATAAATATATTAAAGTTAAAACAAAATAAACGGTATAACCGACCATATAATGATTAGGCGGTAGACACCGACCATATAATGATTAGGCGGTAAAATCGACCATATAAAAGGGTTGTGCCAACCCAATAAAGATAAATAACAAAGAAAAATAAAAGACGCAGAAATTTACGTGGTTCGGTCAAATTGACCTACGTCCACAATCGGAGGAGGAGCAATATTTCTACTATGAAGAAGAAATACAAAAGGCGTAGGAAAGTGGTTCTTAGGCCAAAATGGCACTTACAAAAGATTTAGGAAATATTCCTAAACTCAAAACAAGAGAGCCTAAAATATTTGACTACAAATGGGTTAGATGACTCAAGAATCTAATATCCCATATAACTCCCTTGAGTGGTGCGATTAACTTCAACGCCAAGCCCCCTATTTATAGGTAAACAAGGGGAGGCTTTCCTTCTTGATTGCCGATGTGGGACGGAAAAATTTTGCCACCAAATTCAACCATTGTAGGGGTTGAAAAGTCAACAAATCTCCACCTTAGCATAATTTTTAATCTCACCATCGACAATAGTAAAACTACTCCACCTTCTCCACATAAGCCCCAATGGGGCAAATCACATACAACGAACACCAACCAAGTCCAAGCACTGTTTGAACTTGTAAACTGGAAGAGGTTTCGTAAACACGTCAGTTGGATTGTCCTTAGTATTGATTTTCTGAATAAGAATCTTTCTTTCAGCAATGATATCTCGAATGAAGTGATACTTCACATCAATGTGTTTCGTCCTCTCATGATACATTTGATCTTTAGTCAAGTGTATAGCACTTTGACTATCACAGTGAATAACCGTAGCATCCTGATGTAGATTAAACTCGCCAAATAATCCCTTCAACCACAAGGCTTCTTTGATTGCCTCGATGACTGCCATGTATTCTGCCTCCGTGGTAGATAGAGCCACAATGGGTTGTAAAGTAGCTTTCCAACTAACTGCACAACCCCCAATGCAAAATACGTAGTTTGAAAGTGATCTTCTTCTGTCAAGATCCCCGGCATAATTTGAATCTACAAAACCAACCAGAGTGATTTTATTTCTTCCAAACTCCAAACAAGCGTTTGAAGTCCCTTACAAGTATTTGAGAATCCACTTCACAGCCTGCCAGTGTTCTTTACCTGGACAAGACATATATCTACTAACAATACTACTGCTTGTGAAATATCCGGATGAGTACAAACCATTGCATACATAATACTGTCGACTGCACTAGAACAAGGAACCCGTGCCATATAATCTTCTTCTTCATCTGATTTTGGTGATTGAGCAGCAGATAGGCGAAAATGGCTAGCAAGAGGAGTAGATACTGATTTAGTATCTTTCATGCCAAAATGCTCTAAGACTTTTTTAAGATAATTTTTTTGGATCAAGAACAACTTCCATACTCCTCGATCTCGCTTGATATCCATGCCAAGAATTTTCTTAGCTGCTCCCAAATCTTTCATTTCAAATTCACTATTTAACTGCAGTTTCAAAGTGTGACTTTCTGACAAATTCTTAGCAGCAATGAGCATGTCAACAACATAAAGCAGCAAATAAATAAAAGAACCATCATTTAACTTCCGGAAATAAACACAACTATCATACATACTCCTCAAATAACCATGACCAAACATAAAGGAATCAAACCTTTTATACCATTGTGTTGGAGACTGTTTCAATTCATATAAGGATTTCTTCAACAAGCAAACATAGTCTTCCTTACCTTCAATCTCAAAACCATGGGGTTGTCTCATATAAATTTATTCTTCAAGTTCGCAATGTAAGACAGCTGTCTTAACGTTGAGTTGTTCTAACTCCAAATTATACATGGCAACTAAAACAAATAAAACACGAATAGAGTTATGTTTAACAATAGGTGAAAACACATTGTAGACACCAAATTTTTATTATTTTTAATTTCATTTTTATCATTTATTATTTATTTATTAATTGGGTTAGATTTATCATTTTCATTTTTGTAAGATGATGAAAGTGGTTTTAATTCTCTTAAAGTTGGTTTGAAAATTGTTAACTTATTGATTTTTGAAGAAAATGGAAATGACAAAAAGTAAGGGAAAATCTATGGATAGGTGGAAGTGTGCATATTGAACAAGTGTACAAAATAATCATTAGAAAAGTGTCTAAGGAATTATAGGACAAGTGTATAAAAGGTAGGTGTTAAGGACACTTGGAGGGAAAACAAAAAAGGTAGGGGGCTTGGGGGCAAAAGGGGAGGAATTAAAAAAAAAAGAAAAACAGCAAAACAAGGAAAAAAAGAAGATGACGGAAAAAAAAGAAAAAAGAGGAGGTTACGGGCAAAAACAGAAAAATGAAAATGGGAAAAGAGGTTTTCTTTGGTCGGAAAAAAAAGGAAAAACCAAAAAGAGAAGCCGGGCGGCGGGCGGAGCAAAATGGGCTACGTGAGAAACAAAGAAAAAGAGAGCAAGGAAGACGAAAAAGAAGAGAAAAAATAGAGAGAGGCCGTGGGGGCTAGGGGAGGTGACGGCAGGAAAAGAACAAGGAAGAAAAAATGACAAAAAACTTCGGCTGGGTGAGGAGCTAAAAAACGGGAGGAAAACAGAGAAAAAGAAAAGGGCGGCGGTCTGAGGAACAGGGGGGTTTAAGAAAAATGAGGAAAAAGGAAAAAGAGGCAAAAGTTGCGGCGGAGCTTGGGAAAAATCAGAGGAAAAGAGGGAAGGCTTCGGCAAGAAACGAGAGCCGAGCTTCCAGAGCTAAGTTGCGGCAAGAAACAGAGGAAAGGGGCAGAAAAAAGAAGAATTAACCCTTCTACAAAAAAATAAAGAAGAAGGAGAATAAGTCCTGCTTTCTTTTCCTTTCCTTTTCTAATAGATGCCTTGTAATATTTATACGTTTGTTTAGGAATCAATTGAAGTCTAGAAACTTGCCAATTTCTGAATTGTG